TTTTTTTGTTTTTCCTCTTTCGATTCGTCGCCTTCTATGACTGAGCCATTTATCCTAACTTTCTTCAATGAACTCTCCAATCTTATTTATACATATATAGACAGAATTGGTATATCTTCTTTTTATTAAAGAGAGACTCTATTGCTTCTTAGTGAATCTCTTTTCCTGTTATTTGCAATTAACGAGCTCAACAAAGATGCAGATGGCTGGTGACTCCTCCAAAGATATTCCATCTTCACTGCTGTATATTATTTATAAATTCAATATTATATTTTCACTTATAGGTTCTCAATTTGGGATTTGAATTGTAAATTTTAAATCTCAAATTCAATTATTGATCTCTTTCTTGAGCTAGTTCAATAATCTTCCATACCAAGGCAATCTAAACACGATCCTTTCAGCTTCTTTGAAATGGAGGTTTGTATAGCAACTTGCCATAAACTTTCTCTTCACTAGAAAATAAAATTTAATGAGAATATTGTTATCAATTCAAGTTGCAATGTTCCATTTATTGGAATTCCTTTTCTTTCTGTATAATTTCAAGCAACTGGCGCTTTGCTTACGCCAGTGTTACATATTTTAAAATTCTCCTTTGACATGATCGAAGATACATCAGAATCCTTTCGTCGTCTTTGATCATAAGCAAGAACAATATATGGTTAAATTAACATCAATAAAAATAGTATCCACTTCGATGTCGTTGGCACGATGAATCACGCTTCACTTTGTTACGTTTTTTATTTTTTATTAAATTTTTTTATGAAATTGAACAAATCGCTCATGCTAAACAGAATCCTTTTCAGAATCTTTAAAAGGATTTTTACGTCCGGATAGATGCATGAAAGAAAGAAGAGCATCTTTTCGGCCATTTTTAGCGTGTATTCTTTCAATTTTCAATTTGTTAAGCGCTTTGAGGTTGCATTATATGAAATATTTATTTAACGACGCAGAACTATCGCTTTTTCTCTGTCGTAATGTTCTTCGAACATTATATCATAAATAAATAAATTAATTATCGTGTAAATATTCATAAATAAATTAAACTCATTGTAAAAAGACATCTATTGGAAATAAAGGAATATCTTGTCGAATGCAACAATATTATATAAAATATACATAATTGTGTAGGTTTATAATATGCTGGAAGCTCAAATGCTTCGAGTTCATTAAACCATACTGCAGCCAACAACGACTGACGGAACTCTTGACAGAAATTTAATTTAACATAATTGTCGTAGCTCGTTGACTATTGATATTGACATCGTGTTTGCAGGGAGGTATAAAAGAAAAAAGTTTTCATTTTCCAGTGTTTCGGTCGGTAAAACATGACTAGTGCAGAACTATTTTTCTGATTTTATCAATCTTTTATGATTTTGAGTGAAGAATAATTCTAAAGAAATTTTCTTTAAAAATGTTTTCGATCTGCTCGTCCAATTCTTTTCGTTTTATAAGTTATCGATGTGTTATTATGTATGTAAATTTATGAATAACGAAGATAGTATTTATCTATTCCTATAACATTTGCACACACACACACACAGTAATCCAATCTTTTTTTAGTTTATCCATCTTCTTAACAAAGTCTTTCGAGATAAATTCTTCCATGTTAATTTTTGATACATATTAAATATTATTCAAATTATAAAAATGAACATTATTCGTATTAATGTTGTTTTTTTCTAAATTAATTGTAAAATATATCCAAGGAAGGAGAAGTTTCCCTGCTTCATAATCATATTTTACATGGAAGAAGATTTACAATATTATAATATTTTTGAAACATCGTATCCATTTTCGATTGATTACTGTTTTACAATTTTCACTTAATTTTTTAATTTAAATAATAATAAATAGAATAACGATGGAAGAAATAAAATTTTAAATTCACTTTTTTATTTTTCTTTATCAATTCACAATCATATCATATAATGCTTTTTAACACACTCTGTATATTTTTATATCATTGAAAATTCGTGTTAAATTTTTCCATATTCGAAATATATAATTCTTTTGAGATAGGAAAAAGTTTGATTGTTACAGAGAGATAAACAATTTCTTTTAAATATAATCTGACGTATTCGCGCAACAACAGGTTGTCAGCTAAAATAATCTGCTAAACAAGAAAAAGAAATCATTAATTTCAGCAGTGAAATCGCTGTAGAAAGTTTATCTTTGTTCCGATCTCATATAATTTAGAACTTTAATTTAGAAATTGTTTAAAAATATTTTCAATATTTTTCGCGTGGATTGAAAAACAAACAAATTGTTATGACTTATTATAATTATTTACTTTTTTATTTTCTTTTTATTATTAAATTTTACTTTATTCATACTTCATAACATGCTAATTATATTATAACTTATATATACCAAATATCGAGATTTATCGAAAATTTTTTATTTATTAGGAATCCAGACAATATTATATTTATTATTATTAGTTAACATGTAAATCAAAGTCATAGAAATAGAGAAAATCATGCCTTGGATTTGATAATCCTTTAATTAATCAATCAATTTTGATCCTCAAGAAAGTTCAAAAATTCAACTTGCATTCACATCAGATCTCTCTTGACAGCATAAGATACAAAAGGTAGAATGCACAGAAGAAAGGTTCAAAAAAGATTCGACAAATCGTTCAAATAAGCACCAAAAATATACTTAAACATCCATACATCTTTTGCTTCTCCTTCTTTTTCTCTTTCACATACCAGCAGATATTCATATATCAAAATAATGTAAACATTAACAATCATTGATCTAATAAATCGATTTACCATTAATTTAATAAGCATTCATTCGAGCCGAATTGGAATTCAAAAGAGATTACCTGGCTCATATCGTCCATAATATTCATCCATCAATAAACTACATAATACAATGAGAGAAGAGGGAGAACAATTTTAAAAGCTTTTAAAATTTTGAAATTATTTGACGAGACGTATTTAACATTCAGTTTCATTTTTTTTTAAAGAATCGTAAGTTCTTTTTATCTCATTTGTTTCGTGTATTATATAGTCTATAAAAATTAATTGAAAGATTAACTGGCATTGAAAGACTTCATTATCTAACCAATAGTATATTGACAGATTCCACAGGTATATAACTTTAAATGCATCGAAAGCCGAGGATCATTTCATTTGAATCTTAAATTCCACCACGTTAATTCATTAATAAGCAGACAAATAAAAAAGAAAACAGCATTATACTTCATACTACATAAATTTATCAACTCGATGACATGTACATCAAATTCTTACTCAACTTGACAAAAATCTGTCTAAAATCACTTTCTTTTCTTCAAGAAATTAGATTATTTTATAATTGAAATTCTTGATAAATGAACATCATGAACACAGTAATTCAAAGTTATTTGAATTTATCAACTTCAGGAAGCAAGATCGAACATCAAGGACAATTGACTGAATAGAAAAACATGGTTAGATGAATCAAAGGATTGTATTGTTGAAGTAATAAATAATTATAGAAAATAAATAAAGTATAAACTAAAATAAATTTAAATTATCTCAAATTACCTTAATTTTTGTAGTTAATTCTAATTTTTCCTCTTCATAAAATGATATTTGTTATATTTTTTTTTGCTCATGATATATTATGCAAAATACGATGCTTGCGATAATTTGATACATATCAATCCTCTATTCATGTTTCGATAAAAATCTAAAATCTATTTTCCTACTTCCAAAATAAAACCAATCTTCGAAAAGCAGTAATTGCAAAAACTGCTTCAATTGTCTCCGCCAGGGGCACAATAGCAAGAATCGCATGCACGGTGCGTGCAAAAAATATGGAAAGAAACGTTATTACAAGCAGAAAACAAGGAAATAATCGAACAATTCACGAAAACACCCCAAAGCAAGCTAAACGTTCTTAAAATATTCTTTGTCTCTCTAACTTTATCCTGCTTCCGCCATTTACACCATTCTTTCGTCTATATACGAGATAAAATGAACAAATAAGCGAATAAACAAGTTTCTAATTTTTTTATCGACGAGTCCTTTCAATGTCTATCTGAATCTGAATCTTCTCCGCTTAGAAATGATTTTGCTAATTGCCATTTCCCGATCCAGAATTTCATAAACCAAAACATGTAGATTTGTTAATTTTTGGAGATATTATAATTACTTCTGTGTATTATACGCAGAAATAATTAAAATCGATCGGGAAAATTAATACGTTACAAAATGCGACTGAATCGAGTCTTTGGAGATACTCTATATTCCTGATAATTGATAGCACAGGGAACAATTTTTGACGCCATACAATTTTTTTTTAAATTATCTTTGCATGTGTTTTTTACTTATTCTTTTATCTTTTTCACCAATTTTTTCCATTCTGTATTTGCAACTTATTACTCGAGTAGTAAATTGTACGAAAATAAGCATTCAAAATATTTAATTCATACGTATATATTGGAAATATGGAAAATGAATACTTCTGTGTGTAAGTTTGCAACAAGTTTTTCAATTTATAAGCTCTAAATTGTTTCCCAATAGATTTGGCTTGTCAAATATGATATTATAAATGTCGTAACATATTTTATATATTAATATTATATTGAAAATTTTTAAATTGTTTCATTATTGATAAGATAAATATTCACAAAATTATCAAATGTCAATTGATCTAAAAATTATGCAAAAAGTGTTTGTATTGGCATGTATTATAATTTAAAATTATAAAATCTCCAATCTTATCGCAGGAAAATGAAAATACTAATTATTTTTATTAGATATTAGAATTAAAGTGTAACAAAATTAATGTACATATGTAAAATAGATATAATAAACAATAATCTTAGCACAAAATTCTGAAGTTCCTTCATTTTAAGACAATTTACATCGAGTGTAGCGTTCATGTATATTTTGAAAATAGAGATATTAATTGTCAAATGGTAAACACGATATGCATTCATAGAGTTCTATTTTAAGAATGAGCATACATTAAACGAATGACAGGTACACGAAGCAATAAGGAACATGCGCTCCTCTAGCGGATAACTACATGTACAATAAATAACCTATCAGACCTTGAAACGACATCTATGGGATACTTTCTTAGCGCATGCGCAATAATTACATGATCTCGCGACGTATGCAAATAAGAAGTAATATCAATTTTGAAATAGCCAATTATTGAGTTTGAAATTTGAAAATAATTTTCTCATAAATCACGATTTCAAATCGATATTTCTCGGGATAATGGAAGAAGGTTTGTTAAAATAATATTTTTCGCATTTTAAAATTAATTAAATTCTTAGAAACATTTCGTTGCGAAAAATTAATTTCAATTCAATATCAAATTCTTCTTCAACGAATGAGCAAGCAAAAAAATATTTCTGAATGATATTCTTGAAGTGATTATGTAAGATAATGGTGAAAAAGGATGGAAATTACGCAGTATATATAACATTTAATGGATTATCGAAGAAAAAAAAGAATTATATATTTAATTGGTACAAATTCTTTTCATAGAGATAATTCAACGATAAATGAAAAAAGTATATTAGAAATTTTTTGATTAATTATTTCAAACATTAGAATTGTTTGAAATATTTGAAATAATTAGTCAAATATCGAAAGAGATTGCACTTTGTAGAGAAATCGTAGAATATTTTTTGGACATAAAAAGAAGAAGAAAAGAGTACGAAGAAAAAAAGAGCAAAAAAAGAAGAAAAAACGGAAGAACTTTTTTTTCTTAGGCAGAGATCGTTTATGCAACTTCTATGAAACTAAGAAAAGATCAGACAGTGTAATAAAATTATTAGTGGAATACATAATTTTCACTGATTTTAAAATATAAATAAATTTGAACTTTTTCAACCACAAATATCATCCGAAGAAAAATTATCTTTAATCTGTGTCAATTGAGGGAAATAAATAATACTCTATGTTGTATTATAGAATATTAAAAGAAAAAATTATTTTATCAAAAAAAATTTTTATAAGCGAATAAAAATGTAAAATGCCTTTTTAAAATTGATTAAATATTAAACGAGTAAAAGTATAATATAAATTATTCATTTATTTTTGTGAAAATGATATAAATTTATTTTGAAAATTTTCATAAAATTTTCCGTTTTACAAATTATAAACAAAAATTAGGAAAAAATAATTATCTTTGTGAAAATGATATAAATTTACTTTGAAAATTTTCATAAAAGCTTCCGTTTTACAGATTATAAACAAAAATTAGAAATAAATAAATTTAATAACAATAAAAATTTTTTTGTTATTTTTTGTATTCCAGTTTCTTTGGATTCAATATTAATAATTCGATTATATTATAATATAAAAATTCTACTCAATTATTCACATATTTTTGCAAATTTATTCGGATAAAATGAATAATAAATATTTTTAAAAATAGGAATATATATATATTTTCTTCTTTTTTTTTTTTTTTTTTAATTAATCAAGATCGATAAAAGTATGTATTCACTGGTTAATTGCATTCATACTTCATATACAGTACTATTTGTAACACCACTTCTGAAACGAGTTTAAAAGAGTCCATGTAAGAAAAGCTTGTTTAATCGTACAAATTAAGATTATCAATTCATCATATATTCCATTTTTTGAATATTTATTTCATATAAATTAGAGCTAAAAGATGAAAAGTTCTTAAGATATAAAAGCAGTTTTTGAAGAAGAAAGAAGATGATTAGAAATGAATATCTAATAATCGATATTTCCCAAACCAGTATATGAAACAACAAATAATGGAAATAATATCAGAAAATTTTTTATAAATCATAATCAAATTAGCTTCGAAAATAACCGATATAAACCGAGAATATCTAATAAGAAAATTGAAAACTATTCTATAAATTATTATTATAAATACGAGATAAACGTAGAAGAATTCAAAAATTATTGTTTATTGACTTGTCAACTCGTTCTTGGAGCTATGGTATGGTAATAACAAAATTGATTTATTACGAAGTTTCTTTGAAAAGGTTCCAGGTTTCTCTGAAAAGTTCTGAAGTTCAAAAGGTTCTGATGTTAAAAGGATTTTGAACTTACAAAAGTTTTAAGGTTCAAAGAGTTGCAAAATAGTTTGTTATTCGTATTTCGTTCACTCCTTTTTAACTTTCTTCAAGATTTTGAAATAATTTCGCGATTCTGAGCATGAAGCTATCGTTATTATTATTATTGATATTTTATCATCAATATTTTAAAATATGATATATAGTTTCTGAATTTGAAGCACGAAATTACAAAGTTATCAGAAGACAATAAACCAAATAACAGAAGAATTGTTTGATACTTTTTGATTGATTTTATAATATTTTGACAGTCAATGTATATATTATAATAATGATAGTCAATAATTTTATACTTTTCGTTGTTTTTTTATAAAGAAGTGGAAAAAATACATTCTTCCAATTTATAGAATAAATTTTTTTCTTTTCTTTTTTTTCATTTTATCAGATGTAACAAAATTGATCATACATTCTACTAAGGTTGCTCTTCAAGAAATGAATGAAATCTTTGTCTCCTTTTGTAAATTTCTTCTGTTGTCTCTCCGAGAAAAAAGGAATGCATGTTAAAAGTTTGTTATAGATTATAATTTTAGTTCAAATTATAGAGTTTAGTTTTTGTTTAGAATTTTTTATATTATTTGTTATTTTTTTAAATATAAAGAACAGTAGAATAATAATAGTATCATTTTTTATAATTTTTGACTTTTTTGCTATTTCTTATCATAGTTTAAATTAAATTAAATCTGTTTAAAAAAGAATATATCCATAGCAAAATTCAAAACATTGTGCGCTATGTAATTAAAAAAAAAAATTCTTGAAGTAAGAAAGAATCAACTTCTTCATGAGATTCAACAAGCCATGGTAGATTATTTTATCTATTGAATGAGTTAGTAGAAAAAAAGATTAAAAAGAATAGAGAAAAGATTCTTTTCTTCTGAAGAAATAAAGGAATAATAAGAAATATCATTTATGATTTCTACATTAAAAAGGAAATTGTGTCAAATGGCTCTAAATTATTAACAAAGAAAAAATACATTTCTCATGGAATGCTCAGAAGATCATTAAATTAGGAAGCAACAATATTCATAAAGTTTTATAACAACACTAGATTATATGATAGAACATATAAGTGAAATTCATATAATCAGAATTCTATCGTGTATATTTTCCCATAAACATTATAATTTAATAAAAAGAGTAATAATTTAATAGAAAAATAGAGCATTTGTTTCATGTTTGTTAACTATAATTTTATTATCTTCTTGTAATTGAAATAATTTTATGACTGAAAACAAAAAAAAGACTTGTTTTAAATAGATTTTTCACTGAAATAAATAAATACTCGTGTATCGATAAAAAATGGAAAGCTTTAAATAACCAACTAATAGAAAAAATTTAATTTCAAAAAATTACATTGATACATACACTTCCAAATTGTTTTTTATTTTTGATTTTTACAAGCTTTTATTGGATTATTTTTTGATTCCATATATTTAAAAAAATAAACGAAATATTTAACTATAAGAGACTTCCGCGTTTTTATAATTTGATTGATTGTATTTTGCAGTAATAACATCCATTTTGTAATCGACGTTTCTTTTCTCTGTATATTATGAATGTATTGAAAAATATATTTCGTGCATTTTCTCAAAATAATAGGAATATATATTATTTGTTCTTGTTGTTCTTGAATCTCTCTCATTATTACATTCCATAATTTTTACATTCCAATATTTTGATTTTGATTTCGAAATCTTCCTATTTTATTATTTTTCATGTTTTGTGGAAATAATGAATACATTTCGCTTGTCTTTCGAAACTAAATTACAACTTTTCGTTGTGTATTCTTCCTTCCATAATTTTTTTGCAATAAAATCTTTTGGCATGTTACATCTGTTGTTACATGCAGTATCAATAATTGTTTGTTTTTTCAAATAAAGTTACGAATAGTTTAGACGAAGTGTCATCTAAAAATAAACTGCGTCTTTTATGTAATATAAATTCTGATTGTTGATTCCATTGCAATATTTTTAATAGCATTAATTTTGTTTTAGTCTTTTATATTTTAAAACGATAACAAAAATCAATATTTGCCTCGCATAATTTATAAATTTTTATTTCACTTGAATACACGATGGACGTCTTTTAAATTTCATCAATCATTTATTAATAGATGCATTTTCTTCTCTTTTTCCGTAAATTTTGCAGAACTTTTCATTTCAAAAATTGATTATAATCAATTTTATTTAATCGATCCTATCAGTTGTATCATTATTTTCGAAATACAAATATCTTGAATTTTTAAAAATCTTGAAAAATGAATATCTATAACTTTTAGAGAACTCAAATATTTTAGATCTGACTTTTACAACCATGATAAGCGAAAAGTTAATTCTTGCTTTAAATATTCGAGATTTCAATAACAATAGATCATAATTGTATTCTTAATATTAGGAACTAAGATGTGAGTTACAATAGAGATTAACAGAACTATTCGAGCATCCACCGGACCTACCTTCTACCTGCCGCACCACCCGGTGCTCAAAACAAGCAGTACCACCACTAAACTTCGGGTGGTATTCGATGGCTCGGCAAAATCCTCGACGGGGGTCTCCCTCAACGACCTGCAGCAGGTCGGACCCCCAATCCAGGAGGACCTCTTGTAGATCCTGATTCGATTTCGAATGTATCGGGTGGTCCTGAGCGCAGATATCGAAAAAATGTATAGACGCGGCTTTTGGGGCGAGACGCGACAATCTCTAGAGTCACACGACCACTCGGTTCCCCTTCTTATCACTAGCGATTAGACCTTCGGGCAGTTTATATTACCGATTACGTTTTCGGGCAGTCGTAACACGTTATAAACTGTGCCTCCGATCGTCGGACACGGTCATATCGAGTTGAAACACAGTTTCCAAAAAAGCCATCGTCCGGTGGAGTAGGCCCAACCTCAACACCGTGACGAAACCATTGGTCAGACGACACAATAAAAATTTGAA